CAGTGTTTTCCCCTGCAACATCATCTGATTCTTTGCTGGTGAATTTCTGATTACTGTCAAGAGGTGTGTTTACTGCTTTGGAGGCACTCAATCCCACATCTGAAATGAGTTCTAAAGAATATTTTCTCTGATTCATCAAGATTCCTTGTTGTGACCTGCAGAATTCAATCCCCAAGAAGTACTTTAGCTCACCAAGGTCTTTTATTTTGAAGGCTTCCTGTAAATCCCTTTTTGTAGCAAGAATTAGTTCTAAGTTGTTTTCTGTCACTAACATATCGTCCACATACACTAGGATGATCACAATGTTGCTCCCATGCTTCTTTGTGAACAAGGAATAGTCCAAATTACTTTGTACAAAACCTTGCTTGATCAGTGCTTCAGTTAGCTTCACATTCCATTGTATGCTAGCTTGCTTGAGTCCATATAAGGATTTGACAAGCCTACAAAGTGCTCTTTTATTCTCCCCCTGGCTTGCAAAACCTTCTGGGAGCTGCATGTAAACCTCTTCATAAAGGTCGCCTTGGATAAAGGCATTGTAAACATCCATTTGATGAAGATGCCAACCTTGAGCAGCTGCCATGGAAATCACTGCTCTAACAATTACTATTTTCACCACTGGTGAGAAGGTTTCTTGATAGCCAAGTCCTTCCTGTTGATTGTACCCTTTTGCCACGAGCCTTGCTTTAACTCTTTCTACAACACCATTGGCTTGATACTTAACCTTGAAGACCTATTTGCAACCTATAGAAGACTTCCCTGGTGGCGGTTGAACAACCTCCCATGTTTTGATCTCTTCAAGGGCATGAATATCTTCCTTCATTGCTTCCACACGGCGTGGGTCTTGTGAAGCTTCCGAATAAGTTCTTGGCTCAGTGATTGATGTAAAAGCTATAAGGTAGTGTTGATAGGGTGGCTTCAGCTTAGCATAACTAATATAGTTCTGCAGAGCATGTGGGATGTTGGGGTCTAGCGTTGTTGTAGCTGTAATATAGTTACTCATCTATGCATGATTCCTTTTATCTCTATCCGATCTTCTCAAAGGCTCCACATCAGGAACAGCAGGTTGTGCAGAGGAAGGCACTATGGGCTCCTGAAGTGCATGAGACTCATGGTTGAGTTGGTTCTCATAACTAACGTCCTGTTCATTTGGAGTAGGGAGTTGATTCAGCTGATCCTCATGGCCAATGTCAATATTCTGCACATGTGGGCTAGCAAGTTGATCTGTCACTTACACATCCTCAAGAGGAGAAGATGCCTTATCTGGTTCTGGTGCAACAGGAGTTTCTACACCAAAAAATGCATCATGATAAGAGTCCTCTGGTTCCAGAAATAGATGGTATTGTGATTGCCTCCTGTTTTTGAAAGGAAAGACTATTTCCCTGAAAAATAACATCCCTATTTACAATGAACCTCTGATTAGTTAAAAGTAACACATAGCCTTTAGTAACTTCTGGATACCCCATTAGAACAACTGCTATAGCTCTTGTATCAAACTTATCATGGTTGTTCAGTTTCTTGGCATAGCAAAGACATCCAAATGTCCTTAAATGTTGCAAGTTGGCTTTATGTTCATTGAACATTTCATATGGACTTTTACCATTCAGAGCCACTTATGGCAGTCTATTAATGATGTAAACTGCAGTGAGAACATAGTGCCCCCAGTACCTCAAGGGAATTCCTCCTTGAAATCTCAAGGCTCCTGCTACTTCTAATATGTGTCTATGCTTCCTCTCGGCTACTCCATCTAGCTGAGTAGCATAGACACAAGTCTTCTGATGCACAATTCCATATTATTGTAAGAGATCACTACACTCATTGTTTAAGAATTCTCCTCCATTATCTGATCTAATTACCTTGATTGTTTTGTTAAACTGATCCAGTATCAATTTAATGAAGTTTCTCAGCACAACCACCATATCACTTTTCAGTTTTAACAAGTACAACCAAGTCATTCTAGAGTGATCATCTACTATAGTAAGAAAGAGTTATTGCCATAAAAGTTTTGTACATTGTAAGGCCCCCATACATCAATGTGCAACAAGTTGAAAACTTCACAAGCTCTACTAGTACTGTCTGGGAAAGGCAATCTAGTGTGTCTAGCTAACGGGCACACAACACATTTTTCCAACTGACTTCTACAATTGTTTTGAAAAAAATGAAAATTTTGACTCAATGACTTCAAAGAGGCATGACCTAATCTATTATGCCAAAGCTTAACATCTTGTTTTTCCTTGCTTGCAACCAAGCTAACCAACTGATTTGAACTATCTTTAGTAGGCACTTGTGTTAGCAGATATAGTCCTCCTCTTTCCTTACCAATCCCCCTGACCTTCCCATTGCAAAGGTCCCGGAACACACAGAATTCAGGAAAAAATAAAGCTGAGAGACTTAATTCTCTTGTGAGCTTTGACAGTGATAGTAGATCATACTTAAAATGTGGGATGTACAGTACATTGCTCACTACTTCCTTATCTATCAATCTACAAGTCCCTGAATGAGTCACATGCGTGAAGGATCTATTAGGTGGATTAACTCTTTTTTCTTTTGAATTTCCTACTTTAACTGTGTTTTCCAATAGACTCAAGTCAGAGGTCATATGATTTGTCGCTCCAGTGTCTACAATTCACTCTTTTGTTTTCTGATTCTACTAAGAAAGCAGTAATAGCATCATTACATGCCATGTTGACTGAATTGACTGAGTTTTCTACTACATTTCCTTGCCAAGCAGCTTCAGAATTTGATCATGTTGCTCTGGTGTGAAGTAGGGCCTCTAGCATCATTACCTGCTCTAATGCCTTCACAGTTCATACTCTTTTCTGTTGTATTAGCATAATAGCTGCCATGTACATCTTGATTCATATATTCATTCATAACAACATTGTTAGTTGTAGTTACTCCATACCTTTTCTTAGGTTTAAAGTCAACATGATATCCAATTATTTTGTAGCATTCGGCACGAGTATGTCCTTTCATCTTGCAAAAGTCACATTGTAGTTCCTCTTGTCCTGTTGCATATTCCTTCCCTTAGTGATCATCAATGCATTCATTTCTACATTGTCTACTGCTACCATGGTGTTTGTCATGCTCGGCTGGCTCTCTCTCTCTCAATCAGCATCGAGTAAGCCTTGTTCACAGTTGGTATGGGAACCATCATTAGGATTGGCTACGAGCTTGCTCATATGATTCATTCAATCCCATCAAAAATCAGTAACTTCTGCCTCTTCATGAACTTCACATAATCATGAGATCTAGGGCAATCGCATGGAGATGGAGCTAGGGCATCAAACGCATCCCACAGCAAGCGTAATTTTGAAAAATAAGCAGCAACACTACTGGTTCCCTGAGTCACATTCGCAATTTGTTTATGAAGCTGGAATATTCAAGGCCCATCAATTTTGTCGAATCTCTCCTTCAAATCACTCCAAACTGCACTCTTGATGAATACACTATTCCACTGAGCAATTAACTTGAAACACAATTTATTATCCACGACAACACAATCGCATTGCATCTCTCCCAAAGATCAATCAGATTCAGAGCAAACTTCTCCTTCCTGCATGTTCCGTCGATGAACCGTAGCTTGTTACGACCTAGGATTGCAATTCGCATCGCACAGCTCCACACTGAGTAGTTTTCCAATCCTGTCAGTTGTAGAGAGATCAACACAATCCCTGAATTGTCGATAAAATTGAGGAAAATTGGATGATTATGGCTCAATATCTCCGGTACTTCATTATCTATCTTCGTCGCCATGTTTCTCACAAACTCCGTGTGTAATCAAGCTTCAATTGAAGAATTCGTCCACATAAACGGCCGCTAGGGCTCTGATACCATGTGAAGAAAATCAATTCCCAGCTCATGGCTCACAATCTCTGTGAGCCTAATACATGCAGATCGAAAGGGAGCTAGTTTCAGAGAGAGGAAATGAAGCAGTCAGTTATGCACTAAGTTTGGGGAATTTTCTCAATAAATATTTCAACAGTTGTACATGGCTTTATACACGTGTTTCTCAACATAATTAACCGACCTTCTTTAACACTCCTATCACAGTTATAACTAACTATCTAACCTCAGTTAACACTACTAACTACAGTTAATTTGTTAGTGCTACTAACTACACTTACTGCACCATAGTTACTTAACCAATCCCACTCTCAATACTACGACTACATTTATATGTTTATTTGATCAATAACAAACACAACAATTTCTAAGTTCTTATTAATAAACATGCCAATAGCTAATTCGGTTGCTATAGTGTTTTTTTTTATCAGGTGTTTAGTTGCTATAGTTAGCCCCAATTATTTGCTCCTTAGCCTTTTGAAATAAAAGGATTACAATTTGAAGTTAATATATATGAATTTAAAGGTAATAATGGAAATCTCCTTCTTTTCAAAATTAAAAACTGGCGTATGTTCCTTAGTATGAAGGAGATTGCAATCTCCCTTTTCAGATAGGTTAAGCAACAACATTTGTGGCATGCAGACTAAGTATCATATCTAAGATTTCAAAAGCCCTGAAGTAGGGACAAAAGCTGCAATTAGTCCCTCTATGATTTGTAGTCTAATTTGACATCCAACGGTATAGCCTAGTGGTCAATGAAGTGAATGCAAACCTTAGAGATTGCAAAATGCACTTATATATATAAGTTCACAATTTTATTTTTTTTGACATTGATTATGGTAATTACAACAGTCCATTAGGAAAATCAAAACGTAAAATAAGGAGAGATTTGATGGGAAGTTACAAAGAAGAAGAAATGGCACATTAATAAGCGAAGAAACAATAAAATAGCAAAAATGAGAGATAAATTAATGACCCAAAGAATTGGAATAGGTTTACCCGTTTAGTTCAAAAGGAGGCAAAAAAGCCAAAAAAAAATTGAGGATAAAGATAAATGGTAAAGCTAGCCAAAGAAATATGCCATGTTATATATATATATATATATATATATAACCTAAATTTCTCATAAATGTAATACGTCATAATAAAAAAAGTAGTACTCTGGAATATATATGTGATACTTATGATATTAATAGTGGCGTAACATGTTTCTTTTAATTACACTGGACATACAACTAATAGAAGGTTCTCTTAAAGCAAGAACTCTAGGAACCAATAAGAGAAGGAAAGGCCTAACTACTAATGATGTATAGATTTTAGACGGAGAGGCTCATGAAATAACTAGTACTTATACCTATGTGGTTAAATAAGCAAATTCGGATAGCTTTCTAGTTCAGACACAATGTAGGCCTGAGAGGAGACAATCACTGAGGAGGAACATCACCAAAAGCAGTCGAGGTACGTGCAAGCTTGCCCAAGATACCGCTTTATAATATCTCTTTTACTGAGAAGTAATATTCGAGCAAAGCTCAATGGACCCATAATCCAATAGTTCTTCAATCATTTGTTCTATGTGATCATCTTCAAGTGGCTTAACAAATTGTGGTATGCTCTCCACATCTTGTGTCAATACAGATGGCTTTGGCACTACCATTTGTTGTTTCATTTCATAGCCAACATTTTCTTGAATGGGTACATTTTTTGGTTGAATTTTCTTTTCTTGTGCTGAGGTTTTGGCCATTTGAAGTGAAGCCATGTAACATTTGTGCAACTTGGCTGTCAAATTAGCTGAGAGAATCTTTGAGGAAGATGTCTGTGGCATGTTTTGGTTGTATGGGAAATTGGTTCTAGCCCTTTGACCACACATAAGCCTTGCTGCTTCATCATATGCTCTTGCTGCATCTTCTGCTGTCTCAAATGTTCCTAACCAAATTCTTGTCTTCCTACAAGCAAAATATACCATTTTATTTTTATGTAATCAAAATTCAACAACTTTGATTCTTAAAAAAGAGTCGGACACAGAAAATATCCAATATATATACATTGTTGGACCTTTTGAATAACAGCCACGAAGATCTTATGAAAAATTGAACATTTTCATAGCGAAGATGTAAAACAGATATTGAGCATTTTAGTAAAATATTTCGTAATTGATTTACCAAAAAATAAGTTTTAAATCTATTGGACTTACTTAGTGAAAATAGATTGAATATCTTTAGCACAATTAATATATTAATATATCATATATTTGAAATAAATTCAAAATTAAATTGATTAGATGTATCTAGGGAGAATTCGCTTTGAAGAAACTATTCCCTAGATAAACATATCGTGTTATGAATCAATTTAAAAATTTTAAAAAGACCTAAAGTTAGGGATTTATCAATAGGTAATGTTGCACCAATGCCCAACCAAATGACGACTGCGGTACCAATCAAAAACACCGGCGAACTAGATTCTGGAATTTATTAACATTCGCTAAAAAAAGGTACATTTAATAATTCTGTAGATACTGAAACCATTAAAAGATATATATAGAGAGAGAGAGAGCGCGTTCAAGTCGAAGACAAAAAAGATTGCTTAATTCAAAAGGAGATGACTACTTACAATAAAGGATGGCGAATTTCGGAGACCCAAGAACCCCAATGTCTCTGTCGAACGCCTCTATATCGCTGTTGTGGTCTAGCCATTGACGATTAAAGTCCAATGTAATTGAAACTTTCTCTGTTTGTAAATAGTGTTTGTCCAAAATACAAGAATGAGATAGGCAGAGAAATGGTTGAGGAAGTAGAGAGTGAAAAGAGATGAGGGGTTTATATAGTTGGGATTTATGAGAAAACATGCAGTGAAACTGCTATTTTTCCCTAGGCTTTTTTTGTCTGGCAACCAAATTAAGCAAAGGACCCTACAGGACTTTTGGAACTTATTTTGTGTTTTTTGTCTATCTCATTAGTAGTTTCCAGTTGGATTATTGGAATTGACATGATTGATTAATGAATTAAAATGTGTAGCAACAATTTGATTTTCAAAAGGGTGACCAGATTCAGACTCCATGACTATAATAATACTTTTTGTTGCACAAAAATCTGAAATTAAAATGCAGAAGCAAAATAATTAAGAGACATGATCATTATTTGCAACATATGGGACATAATTAGTGAGTCAAGGTATGGACAAGACACACAGAATAAAGATCTTAGACCATCATAATTGGAGTGCTGAAAATGCAAAATCATTTAACCGAATCTTATTCACTATTATAAGATCAATACATATGAATTATTAACCCTTTAACAAAAATAGGACAATATCAGCATTCTGAGCAAATGATTCATGTTTGATCATGGTATAAAAGGGTGGAAATGACGTCATCTAACCACTTTTAAGCATGTTGTTTAAAATATATCCACAGTTTACAATGTATTTAAAAATTAGCTAATTTCGCTCAAATTTCAAGACACGACGTCCTAGAGTTTAAATCTCAAAATTCAAACTTAGGACATTGTGTCCTAAAGTAGAAAATTGTGTCCTGACGTTCGAATCTTATGTCATGGATTTTTAATTAGTAGTGCAGAAATTCAGGGCATCGTGTCCTAAAGTTCGAAAATAGTGTCCTGAAGTTCGAATCTTATGTCTTGAATTTTAAATTAGTGGTTCGAAAATTCAGGACACTTAGTCCTAAATTTCAAATTATCAGCTCAAAAATTCAGGACACTAAGTTTTGAATTTCCAAATTCAGGATACTTAGTCCTGAAGTTTGGGTGAATTGGGTAATCTTTAAATATATTGTAAAGTATGAATATATTTTAAATAACGGGTATTGTTGCACTTCGCAGGTCTATAATAAAAATGCAATATAACGAAAATATGGTCTAAAAGCAAGTGATTTTATTATAGTCAGATTTGATAATTGGTTTAGGCAAGACACACTGGCCTACTATGAAGTATGAACAATTATAGGGATTAGCATGTGACATCATGATTAAGAAATACATCAAAGGGATACTATTGTGATTGAAGAGTTACATGATAAATATTTTGTTATGAGATGAATAAGAGACTGTCACTTGATCCTCGAACTTCTCGCTCTACAATTACTCCTAGCTCGGAATCACCTCCTACACAGCATGACACACATAATAAACACAGAATACTTGCAATTAAGCTCAAACATGACTAAAGTGCAGCAGATAGAAGACGAAATGTATCCAAAAACATGAGTTTCTAGCCTACCATTATCACCGTGAATAAATTCCTTTGGAAAATAGTTTGGGCTAAATTAACCCAAAAAAAAAAAAAAGAGAGACGTCTATTTCACATACATGTGGCAAAGTAACGAGGGTATTTTTGTTTGGACTTTGTAAGATTTGTTTAAATGCAAATGCACATTGCTCCCATAATTTGTTCCTCAAAATTGGAAACAATGCCATATGCCAGGGTGCTAGGAGAAAGACAGTTATATAATAATGTGTAACATAATGTCTCATAGCTTACAAGACCCATACCCTTGTAATTAATAGTGTGCTATACCCCACTCTCACATGGTTTGAGTTTCTGGGTAGGACACCCTTCCTTTCGTAGTTTTGTAGAACCATATCATTTCCAATTTGAATTTATTCATAGATAGCATACTCAAACTAATAATAATAATAATACTTATCTGTTGCAAAAGTATTTACTTTATTTCCTACAACAACAACAAATCTAGTGTAATTCCGGTTCTGACTTTATTTTCTAAATTATCAATTTAGACTTATATATTATAGACAATTACGTGTTGTTGTAAATTATTTGGCTAAAACGGCTCAATGATGTTCTTAATACGGTGTGATATTGTTCGATTTTGGCCAAGTCTGCTCGATTTTATCCAGAAGGTATCATACCATTAAGAGAACCATACACTTTATATATAAGCTCCTAATTTTTTCAGCTATCAATGTGGGACATTGTTCACGTAGTACACTACCACAATCCACGGGGGTCTCCCTTTGGAGCCAAATTCCATATGGCCCATTATCCCGATCTACAGGTTAATTTTCAAGATTTACTGTGTGTCACCCACATCGTCAGACTATTTATGGCAATCTAAGCCCCCAACTAGCTTCTTTTTGTGTCCGTGTCTCTAGGCTCGTAAAGGTATGCAAACCGAGCCCACACCATCACTCAGTCATCGTCATAATCGTCCCGCCGAACCTAGGCTCTGATATCAATTGTTGGGCTAAAACGGCCTAACAATGCTCTTAACATGGTGCGATAATGTCCGTTTTGGGCAAGCCCGCGCCTCACAGCATTAAAAAACTCCTACACTTTATATGTAGGCTCTTAATCTTTTCAGCTACCAATATAGTACATTGTTCGCATAAATCACTCTAACCCAACATAAATCACTCTAACCTAGCATTATTTAGAAACTTTACTATCACTACATATAAGTTAAACTCTATCTTCTAAAATATGCTTAGGTGAGAGCAAATTCATTTCTATACAGAGTTGAGAGAGTATATCATTTTGAGCATAAGTGAATGGATTTTAATTTTAATTTTATTTTGGTTTGTCAATCGTTGATGTAACGTGAACAAACAGAGGATCCTGATAGAAAGAAACGAAGCGAACGAATCATTCGGTCAGCGGATGTTTTTCTGACCAATTTGTTTCCTTTTATCACAACCTAATCCAAATGGGGACAATCAGAATGGAACGTATTTAATGCAATATGCTCATTTTTTGTTCCTTCTTCGATTTCCCATCTTTATATGATACCCCATCCCGACATTCGTTTTAAGCTTATTATTTTGTTTAATGTTAATTACCTGTGAACTGTTAAACAAAATAATAAGCTTTAATATTAACATAATAAAATTCATAATTCTATAACTTAACAACAAAAAAATACTACAGTATTTGAATGATAGTAATCTTTAATGTAATTCCCCAAAAGCCTTTGATTTCGCAATCTTTTATGATTGAAAATCAATTATCATGTTTTTAGCTGGGGTTAAAAATTAAGAGAGAGAGAGTATACAGACAGGAAAAAAATAGAGAGAATTTTTTCTGATATGACATGAAAGTTTGTGGTAATATTAGTCAACGTCATAACTAACCTGTAAAGTTTAGTGCAAAAGGAGAATTAAACAGTTACTCACAGCTAGAACTGTTTTCTCACATTTTACAAGTGCAAAAAAAGGATTCTTACCAAGTTAGCTCCATCCCCTTTTGCCATCCAACAAAAAGTAACTTGCATGTAAGAATGTATTCACTTTCAATTTTTACGTAGAAGACTATACTGAAATTACAGTAAAAGAAATCAAAGACATCCTTTGTTATTTATCAATGTTTAACAGGATAAACTTAGTAGGAGTATTATATGAAATTTCTTGGGAGTATCTATGAAATTTTTGAGTCCTCGTTTTCCTTTTCACTCTTTTTGTTTTTGCTTGAAGATCACTGTCGCCAGGAACCCAAAACGGAAGTGACTAGCCAGTTTTTGGACTGGTCATTCAAAAATAGCTAGCGTTTGCAAAGTCATTGAAAAATAACCACTATTTTACTGCAACATAAAAAGTTCCAGCATACTATACTGGAAATCGATGCACCTGTGTATGAACTTCCAGCATATTATGCTGAAACTCCAACACGCGGAAAGTTCAAGTATAATATACTAGAGTTCCAGCATAAGTATACTGAAGTATTTTTCCGAATTTTGAACAGTATTTTCGTTCAGATATATCTTTTATATTAAAAGTGACTAAATTCCGATTACTTTTGAAACTGTGACTATTTATAAATGACCACTTGTAAATCTGGCTATTTTTGAATTTCTCCCAAGTTCAAATCAACTTTCGTTTGGGCTTGTGTTTTAAATTTTCTTTTAATATGTTCATATAAATGTAAAAGAACCTAAAGACATAAATTTCAAGTACATAAAACCTATCTCTCTGTCCAAACCAGCTTCAGAATCGATTACTGAGATTGTACTAAGGAGCGGCAATTGTGTTGAAGCACTACTGAAAGAAAGTCCTCACAGCAATCAAGAGTGGAATGGCTTTTAATTAATTAACACAAGAGTTCACAGAAACAAAGTTCTTTAGAAATGTTTTACCTTTTTTCACTGAGCTAACTGATGAGTAGAAAAGCTCCAATTAGGCAACTATTTTCATCATGGTTACATACTAGGATTCAAACTCAGCGACAATCACTACAATTCCAATTGTGGATAGATACCTTTCAAAAAAAAAAAGCAGCCCGGTGCACTAAGCTCCCGCTATGCGCGGGGTCGGACCACAAGGATCTATTTTACACAACCTTACCATGTATTTCTGCAAAGAGGATATTTCCATGGCTCGAACCCGTGACCTCCTGGTCACATGGCGACAACTTTACCAGTTACGCCAAGGCTCCTCTTCATGGATAGATACCTTTCTATCTCTCTCTCTTTTTTTTTCTTTTTTTTTTTTTTTTTTTTTGATAAGTGGCCTTTCTATCTAATCTCTGCATAGGAGCAGGCTCAGAAACTTCAGAAGGAGCACTTTTGGTTGTTCAGGGGCTTGGGGCTCTTGCAAAGGCATTCTTTGAAAACTCGACCAGAGAATGCATGGAGTATGGAACAGAACTAAAACAAGGAGGATGTATTAGCAGAAAAAGCAGAGTTCAAACCATAAAAACGAAGGATCACAAAATCATATTGGAGATTCATCAAAAGTTATTGAAACGTCTTATCTGGGCATGGCTAATGTGTAGTAAAGCCAGCAGATGCAAAAGCAAAAAGGGTTCTTAGGCAAAAGAATATCAAATTTTTGTTTATTATACATGTGGATAGCACGATAGAACTTGCAAGAGAATGGCTGTGGATTGCATGCACTTTTGACCCTCCAATCTCACCCTCCTTTTCCTCTTTCCACGTTGTGAATCTTTTACTCAGACACAACAGTTCGGAGAGGAAGTTTGCTCTCAACCTCCTTTACTTCAGCATTTCTTTCAGCAACAATTTTAGACATCCCAAACATCTGAAGGCATAACCATATAAGAGCACTGCTTTTAAGGATAATCCATAATGCCTAAAAGGGCAGCCCGGTGCACTAAGCTCCCGCTATACGCGGGGTCCGGGGAAGGGCCGGAACATAAGGGTCTGTTGTACACAGCCTTACCCTGCATTTCTGCAAGAGGCTATTTCCACAGCTGAAACCCGTGACCTCCTGGTCAGATGACAACAACTTTAACAGTCGCGCCAAGGCTCCCCTTCATAATCCACAATGCCTAAAAAAAGAAAAAAGAAACAATATATAATGCTATTTGGTCTGGAACTAACCTTCTGGATGGTCTTCTTGAAACATGTCTTGTGTTCATCCATTGAGGCATTTATAAATTCATCAATGTGATCCTTTACATCCTCCAAAAACGTGGCACTTTCAGACTTCTTTTTTCGGCATGATGATGCAACAGCAGGTGCTGTTTGCTCAAGTGGACTCTTCTCGGTTGACATGTTCTGCACATCTCGTAATAATGAGTAATACCATGAGTCCATGAGATAAACTAAGGAGGATAAAACATCAGATCCTATTGATTCATCATCACTTCTTATGCTAGAGCGTAGAACTGTGCTAGAAGTAATGTTCTGGCAGCTGTCCACTTGCTCAATCAATGTACCTGCTCTTAGAAGTGTTTTAGTGCATTAACTACGTTCCTCTTCCCAGTAGGTGCAGATCCTAGATATAAACTTAGTAGGGTATGTCTAAAAATGTTAGCTACGTTGTGAATGCGTTACCTTCGAATTATTTTAAAAGGGAAAAAGAAGAAAAGAAGATAAGTCCCACGAGTCATGACATACTCCAGATTGTATGTTGAACAACTTATTCTATCAAAATCAATTGTTGCTCGTTCCTAAGGTTTTAATGGTGTCAAAAAGGATGAAGTGGAAGAATGGAAGTTAAAACCTCACTGGAATGAAATTTTCGGATCTCCCTCCAAAAAATCTGACCTATAAAAAATAAACAGAAAGGAATACCAAAAGCATAGCACAAAGCTTACTAGATTATCACGTCCTGGTATTGCATTGATAAGGATACAAGAGCAGTACAGGGGAATTGTCCCATCTGTTGTACTTTTCTGAAGGCATGCCTACTTGAAGGAGTAAAAGGAAAACACCAAAGACAGAGAAAGGGGCTGTGGCCAAGAGAGGTTGAGTGCATTCTGTGCAATTTCACGGCCGATCAAGATAATCTGCACTAAACCTAAAGAGACTCAACCTAGATAATTTGCATTGTCCTCTGTTTGATAGTACTTATTGATCCACAACACATACTATTTCCCGTTTGTCAGAACACAAAATATGCAAGCATAAACTTGCTGGAAACTAAACACCTTTCTGCAAGCTATTTGGCAAATGGACCATGGCATTCTACATCTAGAGAACAATTGTTTCAGATAAAAAGGGAAGTACAATGAAGTAGCATAACATTTCCCCTTGAAATATATGGGATTAGTTGTCAAGGTATTCCAGAAAAATTGTTGAAAGAAACGAAAGGAGATCTAAGCCGACTTCTCTAGATAAGGCTAAGGCACTAAAACAAAACACCAGATCCAAACATCACAGAGACCTTTCTTCAAACACTTTTTTTTTAATAAGGTTCTTCAAACACTATATATGCATAAGAGTTGTCAACATAGGATCTGTTCTGGTCACGCAGAATGGATCTTGTCACAGGGCGATTGGCGATTCACGGGAAAGTCTGTGTTGAATAGATACTTTCCCTTGTTTCTATTCCCTGAGCGACCTATTTTGATAACAATAAATAAGCTCGTTAAAGGGAGCCTATCACCTCAGGACTCAATAGAGAGAGTCCCAGATCTCTTGTTTATAATATAAATCTTGCCTGCTCTTTTTTTATTCCTTCTGTCTCTTTAAATAGAGAGTCTTGTTACAAAGCTATTAAGCATAACTAGGAGTCTACGAATATAAGAAATCTATTAAATTAAGAATTCTAGTAAAATTAAACTACTGACTATTTAAATGCCCAACAAATATCTGTCAGGTGCATCTGTATTCCTATCTACTTATCCTCTTTGACGTTGCTATTTTCCTCAGCTCGAGGGCCCCGCCTTGCATAAACTTTACCCACGAATGAGTCTGTAACATTACCCCCCTCCTCTTTAAAGAGCTTGTCCTCAAGCTTGAAGTCTGGATAGGCATTACGAAAATGTTCAGCATCCTCCCAAGTAGCATCTGACAAATCAAACCCACACCAGTGCACTAAGAGTTCCCAAGTTCCTCGATTTAGACATGCTCGTAGAACAGAACAAGGCATAGGAACAACACGACCATCCGCTAGTGGTGGCAGAGACGGGGGAACTGTGGGAGCAGCACCCTTAAAAGCTTTAAGAAGGGATACATGAAATATTATGCAACTTACAGTCACTGGGCAGCTGTAACTCATACGCAACTTCCCTATCCGCCGCAACACAGGAAAAGGCCCAAAGAACGGTGGTGCAAGCTTATGGCATAGTTGACCTGCAACAGATTTTTGACGATAAGGATGTAAACGCAGCCAAACTAGTGAACCTGGCTCATATGCAACCTCACGGTGACCTTGTCATAATATTCTTTCATCCTAACTTAAGCTTGTTGCAACTTGCTACGAATGTCAAGCAGAACTAAATCACGATCCAGTAATGCATTGTCAATAGCCTCTACTCGTGAAGAACCAGCCACATAGGACAATAGACGAGGATGATCTCGGCCATAAACAACCTTAAAGGGAGTTGTTTGCAATGCAGTATGAAAGGAAGTATTATAGCAATACTCTGCCCAAGGCAACCAATCAACCCACTTCTTTGGATAATCCCCAACCAAGCAACGCAAATACATTTCAATAGTACGATTCACAACTTCAGTTTGGCCATCAGCCTGAGGGTGATAAGCAGAAGAGAATGCCAACTTTGTTCCACATAAACGAAACAATTCTCTCCAAAATGTGCTTGTAAAAGTCACATCCCTGTCACACGTAATCGATTCGGGTATCCCATGCAGCGAACAATATTCTCAAAGAAAACATGGGCAACACGGGTTGCATTGTAAGGGTGAGACATGGGCATGAAGTGTGCATATTTGGAAAAACGATCGACTACCACAAATAATACTGTTTTGCCCCAAGCCTTTGGTAAGCCATCAATAAAGTCCATATATCAGCCGATACCTGCTCACGAAGTGCAAGTGGCTGTAGTAAACCTGCAGGGCTTAGATGTTCAGCCTTGTTGCGTTGACAAACAGGACAAGCAGCGACATAATTCCCAATAATCGACTTCATACCTTTCCAGTAGAAATCTTGTCGTGTGCGCTGCAATGTTTTCTGTACTCCTTCATGGGCATTATCATGATATCCTGACAGAATAGTAGCAATCAATTGGGAAAAAGGCAGCAAGTAGATACGGCCTTTATAAAATAGTAGCTCGTCTTTGATTGCCCAGGAAGCATCAAGTTCTTGACGAAGCACTTGTTGGACTAATTCTTGCAAGGAAGCGTCATTGCATATCTCTTCTCTAATCGCATCAAGCAGTAGTACACGTGGTTAGCTGATGGCATACAATAATTCCTCCTTACCCGGACGACGTGACAAGGCATTAGCAGCCTTATTCACGTGGCCTGCCTTATACTCCACACAAAAATAAACCCCATAAGCTTGCTGATCCATTGTTGAGGTGAAGTGGTAAGTCGTTGTTCCAACAAATATTTAAGGCTATAGTGGTCTGTGCGAATCAAGAAAGACCTGCCCCAAAGATAAGGACGCCAATGTTGCACTGCTTTAGCCAAGCCAATTAATTCTCGCTCATATGCAGCCAATTTAAAGTGTCGATCTGCCAGTTGTCGACTGAAAAAAGCAATAGAATGGCCATTCTGTTGCAACACCGCTCCAATACCACCTCCCGAGGCATCACATTCAATTATAAATGGATCATTAAAATTTGGTAATTGTAAAACAGGAGCAGTTGCAAGTGCTTTTTTAAGAGTGTCAAAAGAAGCCAAAGATGTTTCATCCCACTGGAACGAATTTCTTTTAAGCATGTTAGTTAAAGGGGCTGCTAAGTGATTGTAATTTCTTATAAATTCACGGTAATAACCCGCTAAGCCCAAGAATCCGCGCAAGGTAGTGGTAAACTGTGGCTGAGGCCAATCAATGATAGCCTGAACCATGTTTGTGTTTGCTACCACGCCTATTTCAGACACCACATGGCCAAGATATGCTACTTGGGTCTCTCCAAAAGAACATTTGGATCTCTTGACATAAAGGTTATGAGCACACAATAACTCAAAAACGATGCCAATATGAGTGAGATGATCATCTCATGTCTTGCTATATATTAAAATGTCGTCAAAGAAAACCAACACAAACTGACGCAAGTGTGGTTTAAATACCTCATTCATTAGTGCTTGAAATGTTGATGGAGCGTTTGACAATCCAAACGGCATAACCAAAAATTCAAAGTGGCCATGATGCGTGCGAAAAGCTGTCTTCTCAATGTCTAGGGGATCCATGCGGACCTGATGATAGCCCGACTTCAAATCTAGCTTTGTGAAGTATCTGGACCAGTACAATTCGTCTAATAATTCATTCACTGTCTTGGCATTGAGCTCACGATAATCAACAAAAAAACGCCAAGTTCCATCATGCTTACGAACCAATAAAACTGGAGATGAGATGGGTGATCTACTTGGCCGAATGATTCCTTGTCTTAACATATCTGCACATTGTTTTTCTATCTCATCTTTCTACAAATGAGGATACCGGTATCGTCGAACTACCACTGGTTTGGAACCATGTAATAAGCAAATGCGATGATCACAATTTCACATAGGAGGCAGCCCAATAGGCTCTTGAAATAAGTCAGCAAATTCGGCCAAGACCTGCTCCAGTTTGCTGTGGTGCTCATCTAAATCATGCAATAATTGAAGCTGCAATTTCGAACAGGTTTGCTGCCCTTGAAAGACGACTTGTTTCCCATTTGAAATAAAACTCATTTCAAGTGTAACGAAGTCCCAAAGAATGGGGCCCAATGTTTGTAACCAAATCATCCCTAGAACAATGTCAAAGCCATCTAACGGAATAACAAAGAAGTCAGCTTCAAAGTTTTGGTTATCAATATAGAAGGATACTGATGGGCAAGTTCCTTTGCTGTAAACTTTTTCCATTAGCCACTGATACCTTGGCACTTGTCCCAGGCTGTACTTGCATCCCCAAGTGTTGCGCTGCTGTGTAACTTATGAAATTGTGTGTGCTGCCCGAGTCAACCAGGCTCAACAATGGTTGACCTTTCATGATTGCTAGTAACTGCATTGTTCTTGCGCTCTTCTGTCCCGTGATGGCATATAGAAATTTCAGGTTCTTGTGCATCTTTAGGTCAGGTTCTTCATCATCCAGATCAGCAAGTTCCAACCAAAATAGCTTCTTACATTGATGCCCAATCGAATACAATTCATCACAACTATAACACAATCCTTTTGCCCTTCTCTCTGCCATTTCAGCCCGTGACAACTTCTTTATGAAAGGAGCAGATGAACTTACCAACTTTGGTTCAGTAATACCACCTGGTGCATTGCTTCCCTTTGGAGTTGGAATTCTTGAACTTGTAGTAGTAATGAAATAGCCTTTAGTCCCTTGCCAAGTCTCCCTTCGAGAAGATGTCGCTTGTACTACCTTCTGTTTCTTTTCAAAAGCTCAAGCTATATTCATGGTATGAACCAAATCTGGTGGACTACGCATTTCAACATCAAGCCGAATGGAATCGATTAGTCCGTCAGTGAAAATACTAACTTGCTGGTCAACCGAACACACTTACTAGCCCTGGCTAACCGTTCTTGAAATTGGCACTGATATTCTTCAATTGAGCCCGTTTGCTTAAGGTTAACCAGATTACCTAGTGGATTACTGCCCAGTGGAGACCCAAACATGAGAGCACAATATTCCTTGAATTCCGACCCATCAACAAAGGGACACTCTTGTTCCACTTGATGATACCATAATTGTGCCTCACCTAGAAGATGGAATGCTGTCAATCCCACCTTATCTGCTTCATTTGTTCTCTGATTGGAGAAGAATTTCTCACAACAGTGTAGCCAAATCAATGGGTCTTCAGATCCGTCAAAAGTAGAAAAATCCAGCTTTGTGTACCTTGGTACTAGACTATTTCCTGTCAGCTGATTAGGCCGATTCTCTGGTCTGTAGGGTTGGTTACCTACATTGCTACTTGCTCCAGCATCAGAATCCTTTCCTTGATTTTTGTTAAACCCAACAATGAACTCCTGCAATCGTAACGATAATTGTTGCAGTTGATTAACCATCCTTGATTCAGATTGTGCCACTGCTTTTGTTATTCGTGCTTCGTTGGCAGCCTGCGCCTCTTGAAGGAGAGCCTGTAACTCTTCACGTTTGCTTGGATCGCCCATAGTGTTTGGCTCTGATACCAAGTTGTTATGGTCACGCAAAATGGATCTTGTGACAGGGCGATTCACTGGAAAGTCTGTGTCGAACAGATCATTTCCCTTGTTTCTATTCCGTGAGCGACCTATTTTGATAACAATAAATAAGCTCGTTAAAAGGAGCCTATAACCTTAGGACTCGATAGAGAGAGTCCCAGATCTCTTGTTTTTAATATAAATCTTGCCTGCTCTTTTTTTATTCCTTCTGTCTCTTTAAATAGAGAGTCTTATTACAAAGCTATTAAGCATAACTAGGAGTCTACGGATATAAGAAATCTATTAAATTAAGAATTCTAGTAAAATTAAACTACTGACTATTTAAATGCCCAACAAATATCTGTCAGGTGCATCTGTATTCCTATCTACTTATCCTCTTTGACGTTGCTACTTTCCTCAACTCGAGGGCCCCACCTTGCATAAACTTTACCCACAAATGAGTCTGTAACAGGATCACTCAATTGCAAACTCCAAAAAAAGCTCAATTGCAAACTCCAAAAAAAGCGTACATAAAAATAGCAACAATATTTTCATCAAGAACTAGGAACTTAATAAACAAAGATAAAGATAGTCCCACACTTTCCTTAAGTTTAACATGAAGCATTAGACGGAACAATGATGTCGTGATCATCTTAGACTACAAGAAATAATGGTAAAAGAAGAGCGATTCTAATTACCTGAGCTGAAGAAAGCAGAGGCCTGATTATGACATATTGTACTCAGGCTTTTTGAAGTCAGCTTATTTTACTTAAGTAGCATTGGAGGAATGCATTTTCTAAATTGCATTTCCCATTTCAGTTTTATCTTTGTTTATAGTACACAGCTATACCTGTGTGATTGACCTGTGTACTTTGTAACTCATGTCGTATTTGATGAATACATTTTCTTCCAACTATTTAAGGGTGAATGCATCAGGTCATTTGACACAGTTATGAACCATTACAGTCTGGTTAAAATGTTAAGGAATTGTTGAAGATTAAAAAGATTTTCAAGGTACGTATATATTTTAAGCATGTCATATTCAAATTTTACTCGTTCTTTAGCTAATGATAATAGTTTGTACTTGCTTTGATCTTATTATGAAGTCAGGTTTTTGTCTATAGTCTATTCTTGATATCTTTAAACTTATATAAAAATCAAACTTTCCTATTCTAAATCAGTTTCCTCTCAAATCAAAAACAAAATCAAAATTGTCAAGTTTCTGCTTCTATAAGCATAAAACTTCAGTACACATAGGCGGAGCTAGTACTTTGATAACAGGTTCGGCCAAAGCCAGTAGCTTTGGTTCAAACCTTGTATTGTCTTAAAGTATTGATTGAATATGTACAATTTATTAACTAGAACCCAGTAAGTTAGAAAAGACTAGAATGCCGAACCCATAAGCTTCAAATCCTGGATCTCCCTCTAGCCACAAGCAGAAACAACATGCAACTAGACAAGTGAAGCAGAGAAAAAAGGAAGAAAGAAAAAGAAATGCATCCATGAACCCAGACCGAAAAACAGAAAATAAATTGAAACAGAAAAACGGTACAAGAGGACAAATAATATGCATTCTCTTGCTATAAATGATTCTCATAACTCAAAATTAGAAATAATATCAATAGATTGGTTAAACAATTACCTAAAATCAGAGAATTTTGAAAGAGGAATCTGATAAGGGCAATTTAACTTTTAGGGTTTTTTTCTCAGACGATGAACGCACCACTTTTACCAAAGGAGCAATTCAAAAAATGGCGAGCAAAGTCAGAAAGGGGGAGGCGGGCAGGACCGGCAGGTTTTCTGATCGACGAAAGAAGGAAATATGAGGAAGGGGTGAACTGTTTCGCTATTAGCAATAGCAGCTAGCCAGCTAGGCTGTTTGTGGGTCGATACTGTGGTATTTTTGATATTCCCTTTTTTAAAATAGTGTACCATACCGTACCTTATTAAATTCGTTATGATTTTTCTCTTTTCGGTTTCGGTTTATTCGGTTCAGTAACTTTGGTTTGCTCGATTTAAATACTAACTAGTGCATAAAGCTAGACTCTATATTCTTAATTAAAATACTCAAAAATACAAAACTGAAAATATTTATTTGATAAAAATTTTGTCCAAAACTAGCAAATATCGACCCAAATAAAGAAAAATATGCATAAAAGAATATTTGATCATTATTAGAAATGTCTTGTTACTAGATTAGAGTTAATTGATGAACTTAGAGAATAAAAGAAAGTAAAAGTTTAGATTTTTTATATTTATGTTATAATTGATAATATGTGTTTTGTGTAAGTAATATATATTTCGGCACGGTATCTGCACAAATACCAAACCTAATACCAATTTTTAGTAAAACCTTAAACCAAATACCAAAATATCGTATACGAAATACCAAAATCTTCAGTTTCGGTACGGTAATTCGGTATTTACCAAATTATGCACAGCCCTAATAGCAGCTTATGTTTAGTTTAGTGAATGACACACCTCGATTATTTTAATGCGATTTTTTCTAAAAGGAAATCAAACAAATTAAGTTAGTTTTTTGGTTTATATCTGGGTTATTTATCGATTTTTCTAAAATATAAGGAATACACTACCAAAACATATATTCTAGCGACTATATTTTTCAATATTAATAGTAGCCACACGAAATTTGCTACTTTTGAGTAAATTTATTATTTTACCAAAAATATATTTATGGTAACTAAATCAAGTAGTGACGAATATTTAAGACTCATTAAAATAGGTACTTTTACTTAAATTGATTCTTATACTTAGCAAAAGAAAACTACCAATCAAACTAGATTGTAAATACAAAGAACTAAATTATTATAATATCAAAAGACTAGACTAAAAGTGTAAACGATTTAACATGTACCATAAAATTTTATAACTTTGTACAAAAATATGCATATATATATGTCTGTGTGTGTAATAATAAACTTTAAATAGCAACTTCTATAGTTGGCTTGATTCGTCTTTTTAGGTTATTTTGATTAAAACCAAAACCAAACCAACTTGAGCGGTTTTTAAAATTCAAAACAAAAATCAAACCAAACCAAACCAAACCAAAAAGTATGATTTTTTTGATCGGTTTAGTTTGATTTTTCGACTTTTTTTAAAACACCCCCCTAATGCGAGGTAAGAATTTTTAATAAATTATTCGGTTACCCGTCACCTAAAAATGCATTTCACCCCTGCACCGGAAAAATTCGGGGTTTTAGTTTGCCCCCTGGAGTCCTGGACTTTGGAGATAGACACTATAGACACCCCCGTTAAATCAGTTAAAT